GGGGGAAAGACCCAGTGTAAGAAAGACGATCTTGCTTGTAGGGGGAAATGGAAAGAAGCTCTGAGCAGAGTTTGGTTTGTTTCATTTTTTCATGTGCCGGATGGACAGGATCTGAGCGTCTCACATTTAGCAAAAAACTGTCAACACCCAAATAAACTTTTAATGACAGTAAGAATGGCATTCTACTACTCACAATTTCGCAATATTCGCTTAAGAAAGAGCTAATGTGTCCAGGTGTTTTTCCCTCAACCAAACTGGGAACACCTGACAACCACAGGTAACTTGTTAAAAAATGTTAACCACATTTACTTATTGAACACGTTCAGCCAGAGAGAGAAACATGTCTGTGACGCAGGCACAAAGCAACGCCAGGAACAAGCTGGCATCTCAGAGTTTCAATGCTGGTAGTCCCCCCGCCCATGCCCCCCAGATTAATTGTACAAATTCCAAATGGTCAAAAGCATCCAGGATTTCAAGCGTCAGCTGATGGAAGCAGCCTCATGCGAGACCCAGGGGGTCCAGTGGCTCCCAAGGATTCTCCCGCTCACAGAAGAGTGCCCGCCGCCTTGGCATGCCCTGCTCGGCTTCACACACACTGTTCTGGAAGGAAGCAGGACTGTCAGTTCCACTGGATGTGAATCTCCCACCTACAATGCTAGTAAATCCCTGCAGGCAGACCCCATCCGCTTTCCTCACGGTCTCCTGTCTGACTGTGCAGGAGGACCCCGTGGGTGGGATCCCTACCAATTCCACTTGGGGGGTCTGGCAACCCCGTGGCCCAGGACTCTTACTAAACACAAGAATTCTACCAAGGCCCGCGCAGACTACTGCAGTAAGGAAAAGTCTTCAGACTAAAATGAAGAAATTGACAGCCTTTAATTTGTGCATTAACATCATCCTATAGGAATTAATTACAGCCAGAAGGAGAATTATTTTTTATCAGAGAGTTGTTTGCTCTCTAAAGCAAAGGCTTTTAGTGGGGTTTGCAACAATTCAGACATCTCTCAAAGACAGTGTGCGACCTCATTACATTTTTAAACTGTGCCACATTGTGTGAATAGGCACAAGCACTTTTTAAAAATCTTTAAGCCACAATCCAGGTGCGTCCAAGCGGCTTCTGGAGTGGCATCAATGAGAACATCAGCACAGAGTCCCCCTCCATTCCCAGTGAAACCCCCCTCCCTTGCAAGGACACACCTCTGCTCCACCAACCTTCCCAGAGAGGGGCTGGGAACAGAAGTGATGGCAGCTGGCAACTGCAGCAGGACCAGTGGCCAGAGGCAGACCTCAACTCCTCCTCTGAAAGCCAGCACCTACACCCAGAACAAACTCGCTTTGGAAACACAGAGCAAAGCAGGGCCATCACCTGTGTTCAGGAGCGCAGCTTGGAAACCACAACAGGAAAAAATCACGTAGACGATTCCAAGGGTCCCATTATTAGGGCTCCACACCAAGTTCACATTTTTTGGTTGCAACCGAAATTTATATCTCTAAATGTAGAACTTTTAGGGAAAATAAATTCTAAATGCTAAATCATATTTAGGGAACAATAAAATGTACCTACACGCTCGGGTCAATAAATGTTTATTAAATCAGAGGTTGCAAAGAACTCAGAACTTCTTTGCTATAAAAGTTACATAACAGCAGATAATAAGTCGCTTCTCTCCCGAGGCCAGCAGCGCTCCTTTTTCTCTCCACCATCACACACACACAATTCTCTCAGTGCCCAGGTATCCACAGGCATCCGATCCCTAAAACGCCCAGCATGACTGGAACGTCCACATACACTGTGGTGGAGAAAGAGAGAGGCCGTGAGGCCACTCTTCAAACAGCACTAGTGAGATGAATAGCCACAAGTAAAAAGTGTCCCTGTGCTGGGTTACAGGAAGGCTCAAATACAGGATTCCAAGAATTCCACCTGTTTCCAATTAGATACCAGAATTGCTGGAGTGTTTAAACTACATTCACTTGCTACTTATACAAAACAATTCTTCCGGGTTTTTTGAACATTTTAAATACGTTAAAATAAGATTAAGGATCTGGTTTAAACAATCAGAGGCAAGGAAATTTCAGCTGAAACCAAAACTATCTCTCAGCTGCGATAATGCAGAGCTTCAGACAAAACAAAAGGGCTAGGCAGACACGTTTCTGTCTGTGAAATTACCAATAAAAATCAGACTTTTGGTGGGGAGAGCACTTATATTTTTAAAGTTGCATGTTAAATAATTCTAAGTAGGCTTTAAATAATTCCTGCAGTGACTTATGATCCTGTACAGTAGAATCACTTTCACAGTAACTTTACATGTCATTTGTGTCACAGCCCAGCAGACACACCTGTCTTAAACATGCAAGATTTACATGAGCCACCAAAGGAACACTTGGCAGAAAGTGAGTCCAGCTCTGTAGAGTTCTTCACAAGATGAATTTCTCCTAAAAAATTGACAAGTTTTTTCCTAACAAATGGGTCCTTGCTTCATGTCACTGTAGTGCTGAAACAAACGTTCCCCCATTGAGACCCAGACTGCAGCGGAGCCCGAGGATGGTGGGGCTGCTTAGCGGGATCCTGGAGCCCCAACCCCAGGGCCTGCCGGCTCCCACACTCGGCCCTGATGGGGTTTCTTAACTGAACAGCCACAGAGAAAAGGCATTTTAAATAGCCATTAAAGGTCCTGGGCTCAAAGGGGTCACCAGACAGCATTCTTGAGGTTAGCTCAGTGGATTAGGAGAGAATCATTCCTGAGAGGACCAGGCTGTGGGTCCCCTTTCCAGCTCTCCTGTGCTGACTGACTCCTGACAGAACACACATGAAGTTGGGAACTCGGGCAAAGCATCTTTGCACCGCCGATCAAGAGCTGCCGGTGAACTACTCCTGCACTAGCCTGCACCTTCGGGAAAAAATAATAATGGTTTCACCCAAGAGAAGCCTTGAATCAGCTGATAAGGACCCCACATGCCCGATCTCTAAGGCACCTACAGTAAAAAAAAAAAAAAATACAAGAAAACAAAAACAGGGGCAGCGGCAGTGAAGTTTGTTTATCCATTATTCCATCAAAGGCACTGAATGAGATATTTTAATTAAAATAATAGACCTCTTCTGCGGTACCGTCTGGGACAGCTGGCAACACGCGATTCTGTAAAAGGAGAAACAACCAGAAAACGAACTTGCAGTAAAACTAAAATAGTCCTCTGATTTTGAAAAAGAAGACAAGTTTTAGGGTTCACTTTTGCAGAGGATCCTTAAAGGGGAACACAAGCCATGACCAAGCAGAGAGAATACCCCCAAGAGAAGCCAGCCACTGGCAGGCCCCACCCCAAAAGTTCAAGCTCCATTAACGCATAACAGAGTTACATGAGCTGGTTTTAGAAAGTGCACTTTTTTCAAACGTGTGTTTAAAAGATAAATTTATACAATGGTATTTTTCTTATTAAAAAAAAAAAAAGTCTGGTTTTTACAAGTCTGGGATAGGATGAAAACTTGTCCAACGAGTCTTAGCAACGACAGAGCTCTGAAACGTCCATACTGCAAGCCTCTGGGACTAAAAAGGAAGCAAAATAGAGAACAGTCTTCAGAAACTCTTCCTGGGCTTTCACCACAAGACCAAAGGTGGCTTCAGGACCCAGGAAGCCCCAAGCTCCACGGGGCCGTGGAGAGGCACAGAACCATCCGAATTCACCCAGATCCGCTGCAGTCTCTAACATGGATCTGCCTGGCAGAGACCAAGTCTCTCTACCTTCAGATGTTTGAAGTCCCAACCCTCGCTGGGCTCTGCAGGCAAGCAGACCTCAGTACCAGGGGTCTGCAAAGCCGAGAGAGTTCAAACTAATGACTTCTCTCTCAAAACGCAGTCTCACTGGCCCATTCACCATCTGCGAGAATCAAAAGACCTCCCTGGGCCCACAGAAAGGACCAGTCTGGCCAGGGAACTTTGGCATTCCATGTTCAACTGACATTTTCAAATGTGCGATTCAGCAGCCATAGGAAACCATCTAAGGCCAAATCCCTACCACCAAGAGGCAAGGGATGCTCAGTACAAGAATAATGTTCGGAGAAAGGATCTATTTGGTGGTTGCTGTTTTTCAAGATCAACATAAAGTTCATTTGAGTAAACTACCAGAAATCTTTGAATCGAATCCTGAAGCCACACTGTTAAATGTCGCTGTGGTCCCCTGAACAAGCACCTAATCTATTGGGGTAGAGAGGAACTATTTATACCAAGTTCATAAAATCTAATAACTCTCTAGAAACCAAATCCATTTCCCAGGCAGTTCTGCCAGGATGCTTAAAAAAGAAACTTCATTGATATTAAGCTAGGATGTCACATTTAAGAAGACAAGAGGGAGAAAAAATTAAGGTTTGTCCCTTAAAACTCCACAACGGGTTTTACAGTAAGCACAGGAATTAAATTATGGTAAAAGGGAGCTATTTTTACTAAAACAGGGTAGACCAATTTATCAAAAATGCCATTCGGCTGTGTTCATTACATTCAGGAATCTAATTTACACAATAGACACTTTGGAGTAATCTATTTTGGTCAATAAATACTCAAACTCCTTTAAGTTTTAATCTTATCGGAAATACATATTTCACATAGTCTTCTTCCTAGTTAAGAGAGAAATTTGAGGAAATTTCATAACGACTATGAGTCTGCTTTATCGTTCTTCCGTCGGCGAGGGCAGAAAACAAGCACATACAATTAAAGTTGTCAGACTCCACTCACATCCGCTTTAATCCAATCTGCCTGGATTCTTACAAGCCTCAATGTGGAATTCATTTTCTCCTAAAGGTGCGGTCGGTCACTATCCCCCAGCCCACCGGGTTAGTAAAGTTGGACCAAGTTCACCTTCACGCACACCTCAGAGCTGGGAGCAGCAGCGGTCCCCAGGGACGCCGCAGAAACCCCCTCCCCACCTCCCAGCACCAGATTGCCCTGGGCCCTTCCAAGCCGCAGAGCCGTCCCCACTCCCGCGCCCCAGCGCTCGCGGAGCTTGGGGCCGCTCACCTTCAACTTGTCTCCGGCTACGCACAACATCCACCTGGCAGAGTCCGGGGGCTGTCTCGGCGTCGCGGGCGCCGAGCTGGCCCGTGCGGGGCGCAGCCCTCGGGCGCTCAGCTCCTCCGGGTCGGGGGTGGCAGGCAGGAACGCAGCCCCGGAGCACGGCGGCAGCTCGGGCGCCGGATGGGGAGCCCCGGCAGCAGTCCCTCGCGGAGCCTGGGGGTCGGCACGGGGACCGTGGTCCCGCACGCCACAGTCCAGCGGGGCCCCCGGGGCTCTGCTTTCGAAAACCTGGCCAGCAAAGCCGCCCCGGGGCGGATCTGCCGTGCGCTCCATAGCGCCGGCGGACCCCGCGGGGAGGACAGGCTCCCCGAGCAGAGGGCCGGAGAGGAGCCGGCGGCGGGTCACTGTGGGCCGCGGGAGTCCCCGGGCGCGCGGCAAGGGCCGCCCGGAGCGGCGGCAGAGAGGAAGCGCCCCCAGCCCGGGAGCCGGCGCGCCGCGCGGGGCCTGCGCTCAGGGAAAGTTGCAGCCCGCCTCCCTCTGCCGCGCCCGCGCCACCCGGAGGTCCCGAGAGCCGCGACCCACCGGCACAGCGCGCCGGGCGCCCTCGCCGCCCCGCGCCAAGTTTCCCCGAAGCGCCCCCGCGGGGGACCCCGGGTGCGAAGCGGCAGGTCCGCGCCACTCGCGCCAGCACACAAAAGAGCGGGGCGGCTGCGGGGCTCGCGGGTGGCCCCGGGGCGCTCCCGGGACGTAAACAAACCAGGGGTCCGCGCCCGCAGCCCCGCCGGGAGCAGGAGCGGCGGCGCGCCGCGGCCCACTGACAGCCGGGGGCGGCGGCCGGGGCCGGGCCGGCCGGGGCAGGGAGCGCGGACGCCCGCCCGGCCACCCGCCCGCCTGGCCGGAGCCGGGCCGCGCCGCCGCCGCCGCCGGTGGCCGCTCTGACCCTCCCCCGAGCCGGCGGCACCACAGCGCCACCAGCCCCAGCTCCGCCGCGCCGGCGGCAGTGGCGGCGGCGGCTCCTCCTGGAGAGGCAGGCGCTTCACCCCCCACAGCAACTCCCCACAAACTTTCCCCGGGAATACGGCGGGCCGGGGGCGCGGGCGCGCTGGCGGGCGCCGCCGCCGGGCCGCAGCCCCCTCCGGCCGCCCGCCGCCGCCCGCCGCCCGCGCCCCCTCGCGCGCGCGCCCCGCGGGCCGCCCGGCCGCCCCCTCCCCGGTCCCGCGGCGGCGGCGCTGGCGGCGGCGGCGGCGGCGCAGGGCCGGGGGGGCGCCCGGGGTGGGGGCAGACACCGGGGGCAGCGGTGGCGGCGGCGGCTCCCGGCGCCATCTTGGGCTGATCGATGAATTGAACAAAGAGGATCAATTTCCGATCAAGCGAGTTATCAATGGGGGCCGGGGAGCGAGAGGGACTTGTCCCCGACTCGGCCCCGCTCTCCCCGGCACCCCCTCCTCCCCGCCGCCGCGGCCCCCCGGCGGCCCGGCAGCCCGGGGCCCCGGGGGAGGCCGTGACCGCCCGCAGCCCCCACCCCCGGGCGCGAGGCCGAGCGCGGAGAAGCCTGACCTGCAGCTGCTGTAAATCAAAGCGCTTCCAATATTGAAACATCGATCCCACATTGGCCGCCATCTTGAGACATATTGAGACGGAGTGAGAGGCTGATAGAGAGGGGGCTGGAGTTCAGGAGCCGCCAGGAGGCAGCAGGCGGGCGGCGCCAAAACCCGGCCTGGAGCGGGCCGCCGCCGCCGCCACGGCGGACGCGGACTCCTCCTCACGGCGCCGCCGCAGCCATGGCGAGCCCGAGCCGGAGACGGACTCGGAGCCCGGGGGCGCGGCGGCCGCCGGCCGGCCTGACGCGCGCGGCCCTGCCCCCTCGTCGCGCGGCAGGCGCCCGGCCCGCGACCCCCGCCCCTCCCGCGCCCCCAGCCCCAGCCGCGGCTACCGCGCGCCCGGCCCCGAGGGGGCGCTGCGGGGCGCGAGAGGGGCGCCGGGCCCCGCGGGAGGCCCCGGGCCCCGCTCACCTGGGGCGCAGGCTGGACCCCCGGGGGTCGCGGGCGGACTAGCGCAGCCCCTCTTGGCTGCCCGCGTGGGGCCGTGCGCAGCGCGAGGCGGACGCCGGCACTGTGTTCGCCCCTCTGCTCGCACGCTGAGCCGCCGCGACCACCTGCCCAGGCCCCGACCCCGCGCGGCCCAGGCCCACGCAGCCGCTCGTGTGCGCGACGCGCTGGCCGTTGACCGTGGCGCTTCGGCCCCTCTGCGCCGGAGCGGGGACTCGGAGACCGCGCTCCAGGAACTGCGTTTCACGTTTGGGAGAGTGGAGTTGGGGGGAAACCAGCTCTGACCCTTAGGTCGCTGCACAAGTTCATCCCCCCACGCCGGGGCCGCACGGTTCCCGCTGTCGCACCAGTATGCACTGCGAAACGGCGGTGGCTCGGGGGTCCCCGCGGCCCCCATTCGCCCAGGTCGCTCCAGGTTAGGCCATGACAGGAAAGTCTTGGAGCACAGGGCAGTACCCCCCCCACACACACAGCGGACACTGCTTCTCCAGAAGGACCCCAGACACCTCGGTTTCTACTGCTTAGGGTAACCAAGGTTAGAAAATGTTCATTCCGAACAGAAAAAGTGGCCCCAGTGCATAGAAATGCTAAAATGCGAACTACAAAACAAATTCTCTGTTGATTTCCTTCTTTGCAGAAACCTGGCCCAAGCACCCATTTTTCGATCATCATCTTTGATTGATCACACAGCGCGAATTTGAGTTTCCAGTAGGGAAACTGTACTTCTACTCTCCCGCACTTCATTTAACGTGTGATTAGTTACAACAAATCCCCAAATTCCTTAATCTTGAAAATTATATGTAAATAAAAATCTGTATGGGATACAAAATAAAACATGTAAGTGGAAAATAATTGCTTTTCAACTGAGTTCGAGGGTTTAGCGCTGATCAGAAAAGTGGACTCAGCGTTTTCGAAGGGAGTGGGAATGAAAGTCCCCCGAATTTAGAGAGCACATGTGTCCCCAGGTCTTGCGTTGGGGCCAGAGGCCTTTACATCCAGGGGAGGCTCCCGAGGTCTGGAAGGGGGTTCGCTCTGCTTCCCCAGCGCAGCTTGGACTCGCTGGAGAGGCAGGAAGCAGGTGGGTGGGAGCGAGCGGGTGTCGGAAGGAGCGTCGCGACCTCCGGCCGAGAGGTTGTGACGCGTCGCCGGGCAGGCACTGCGGACGTCGGGTGGCCGCGGGCTGCCTCCGTGTGGGGCTCCTGAGCTGGCGCGCGCCGTCGGCCCGCGGCCGCGCTGCAGCTCCGACCGCGACGCCCGGTAGAGGGCAGCTGCGCCCCGACACTCGGGTCCTCGGGTCCGGGCGCACGTGCCCACCCGCGCGCACAAGCCTCTGTGTCTGGCCACGCCCTGTTCCGGAGCTAGGTTCCTGGCGGGAAGGGGCATTGCCACCGTAAGTCATTCCCATACTGAACATTGCCACTTGCAACTATTCTCCTCTTTTCCCAAACTTGGGGACAATCTGCCTTCCCCTTGTGTGTGTGCGGTGGCAGACAGGGAGACCCAGGAATTGCCCTTAAAGTGGCTAGACAAATAAAATGTGCAGGGGCTTTAAAAAAAAAAAAAAATTCCTCCCGTGGGGAAGGATCGGGGAAATGGTTTGGATTTGGTACAGATGTTCTCAATCTAATTATCGTGTCTATCCCCTGGGTTTGAACCCAAAAAAAAGTGAAATATATATGACCTGTGTAATAATCCAAAAGTACATCTGGTTGGAATTCAGGGTTCTGAATCCACGGTAATATTTTAGAAATAAAGTTGATGAGTATTAAATACTCTTGTTACATTCCTGGTTATATTTATATTATTTACATGTTAACCTGACTTAGTAGAGAAACACTACATTCGGTGACCCAGAGGTTAAGCTCTGTTTAAATAAATTTTAAACTTCTACCAGAGTTTGGGGTTACACAAGCCTTATTGCTCTCTCCAGGGAGAAAAGTTAAGGATGACTTTGCTCATAACACAAAATGTTACCAATTTGAAAGGAAAATCATTCAAGATAAACCACTTACCTAAAATCATCTTGGTTGAGTGAGCTAATCCTAAAAGACCTTTAAAAAAATGTGGGGGTGGGGGGCTGGTGTTGTGGCTCCGTGGTAGAGTGCTTGCCTAGCACGTGTGAGGCACTGGGTTCAATTCTCAGCACCACATATAAATAAATGAATAAAACAAAGGTCCATCAACATCTTAAAAAAAAATTTAAACTTTTTAAAGTACATTTTATTTTTTTGAGTAAGTGTAAGAGTAAATTAAATCTATTTGTAAAGACTATTTTCCCCCCCACAATACTGTAAAGGCTCAGAAGGACCTACTAGGATCCTAAGAGAAGGATCTTAGTAGGATCCTTCTTAGAGAAGGATCTACAAAGCTCTGTATTGTGTAAACTATTAAGAAAAGAGGAAGGTTTTAGGACCTAGGTATCCTCTGTCACCCACAAAGATAACAACACAATAATGGCTGTGACCTCCCAGAACACAGTGTGAGAAAGAGATAGATCAGCAAGAGAACTGGCCCAGAACCAAAAAGCACCTTGACATGTAATTGATATTACTTAGCACGAAGCACAAGAAAAACAATCCAGAGGCATTTGGTCACTTTTTAATGTTCTGGCTCTCCCTTTAGGGGAAGAAAGCTCACAGTTCCCAAGTACATGACTAATTCGCCAGCCTGAGCTTTCAAGATTAAGCCCCCAGTAATCAGATGGGAGGATTCACTCAAATGACGTTTGTTCCTGACACCTTCAAATGAAATATAGCTTAGCATCAAATAAGGTAACTAAATGACTAATGCATGGGCTCAGACCTCCTAAATTTCTTTTGTGACCCATTTTATTTTGCCTTAAAAAGAAAACTGAGTGACCATGCTGAAGAGATGATACTACTAATATAACGTGCAGAAAACGGCAGTATCTTCTAGGGTTCACTGTTCCCTAACCTCATTGCATTTGGTGGGTTCTCCTCCTTCCTGATATCTACATACATTTTATTAAATCCATTTAGGTGAAAATCAGCAAATTCTCCAAAATGACCACATGGGTTGATTATCACTAAACTCATCCAGCTTCAATAGCCCCAAGAAATAAAAATACATTGAGTTTTTTTTTTCCAAAAACTCAAACTTAGTAATTGTTCAGATATTCTTGACCTAATTCCTTGAAGGAATTAACCACCAAGAAATTGTTCCAAACTGAAGAATGTCTTACACTGTAGGGTATTATTTAAAAAAAAAAAGTCATACTCTTTATCCCTCACACATACAAAAGAAGTCTTTATGTTCTGATATCTTATTTATTATGACCCATAAAAGTTACACTTTTCCTAGAAACCTTATCCCCAGGAAAATTTGGGGGAAAATCTAGAGTTTTTAACCAAACTCCCCAAAAAAGTGAAAATAATTCAGGAAATCATCTATCCTATGTGATATGCTTCAAAGGAAATATCAAGCAATCCATCCTAAAACCTTCATTCATAGTCTAAATAGTTTTTGCATCCAAATGAGATTTGGTTTCGAATAGTTTTCAACAAGAAATAGTGCAGATAACCAGCAACAGTACATAGTGCCAAAAGCGACCTCATAAAATTTATTCACAAATAATCATAAATCATAATGACATGACTATTCAGGACAGAAAGGAATCGTAGTCCTAATAAATTGTATGGAGAATCTCAGTTTTACAAGACAGAAGTTCAAAACCATATGGAGAT